TTGCCATCCCTATATCCACTTTTTGAATTTTTGCAGTTATCAATTGTCTTCCTCTGAATCAAGTTCTCTGGAATTAAGTTTTGCCATAACACTTGGCACTTCTATAACCTGTATCATTTACTTAAATCACTATACGAACACTTTTCAAGCCAGTTCAGCACTGTTACACATTGGTTACAAGCAATTTGAAACAAGAACGAGATAACAACATGCTTAGTTCAATATATCAGATTACTTTTCCTTGTTCTCCTTTTATGTTGTTACTACTATTGTAAAAAAAACTGAACTATTAGCTTCAAAGAGCAATTTTATCACAACATGATGTGAGCTGAAATAATTGGCTTTGCTTTTGCAATGAAATGTATGAACAATGTCTTATCTGATTTATATATAACACTTAACCATGGTTAAAATACACGGTAAACAAGGACAGTCAAATCCATTACAGAAAATGCTGTTGAAATAGAGAGATATGAAAACTCACAGGGACGACTGTTGGATCAAGAGTCCTTTGAATAGACGCAGTATCACCACCAGAGTCAACAGCGAGCCGAGCAAGCTCCATTACCGGCGCCGGCGGCCACCAAATAAGCTCATTCTCTTCGTTTATACTCCTTCGATCATCACTCAATTTCGAACTCAACGAGCGTCTATTCGGAGTCTGATAACACGGAGAAAAAGGAACTAGGAATTTGAAACAAGAACGTAGCTGCCGCGCCTCTTGAGAGTTGACAGCTAAGGCTTGTTGAGGTGGGCCCAATAGAGAGAGAAAATCGGCGGCTGAGGCCTTGGGTACGGACGGGGAGGCAGAGGAGGAACGTAGTTTGAGCTTACGGAAGGAGTAGAATGTTGGGGTTGAAGTGACAGTGTATGAAGCGGCAAGAGAAAGGGAGAAGAAGAAGACGAATTTGAAAGAGAACAATGACCGGCTCATCTTTCTTCTCATCGCACTAATTCCATTGGCTTTAAATGCGAGCTCCCGTAAAGAAATGTGTTGGGAGTACCGACTACTCAATATATAGAGATGTAGCTTCATGATTGCAAGGCTACTCCTCGTTTATTTTCATTTGTCATTCTTTAAAAAAAAAAAAAACTACTCCCCAACCAACAATAATTTAGTTAATTGACACTTGAATAATGTGTCTAATTCTTTATTTTTTTACCATCTCTCTCTTACACACCCTTCTTTTTATTCATTTTCTTATTTTCTTACTCCTAATAAATATTTTTTAACTTCATTTTCTTAAGATGTTGATATATTGAATAAAAGAATTAATAAACATTTTTTATCACAATGATCGAAAACGTTTTTAGGATTAAGTATTTAAAATACTCATATCATTTAATATTTTTTATAATATCAAATTAACTCAAAAATATTTAGTGTTTTCTCAATCACTAGCCCCTAAAAAACAAATTAATTCAAATTTAGTTTTCCATATTTTTTTAAATTTTTTGTTTAATTCATATATATATAGTCATTGTTATTTTAATTATGTTTTAGTTCATATATTTATAGGCATTCTCTTAACAGAGAGTATCCGTTATTTTTCTTAATTTAAGCTATAATTTTTTAAAATACTTAATAGAAAAACGTTGGAAAATATATATTATAACTGAATGTACGTAAAGACACGAAAAATGAATACTTAATAGAAAAATGTTGTTGTTGTTGTTGTTCTATCTCGTTGTCGTTTGTTGTTGTTCTATCTCGTTGTCATTCTTATATTTAAATATGGTTATGGTGAAAGAAAAAGTATTTGTAATTTCAAAATAAGATCAAAAATCAAAACAAAAATAATCTTATCAAATTAATTTATATGCTAAAGTAAATTAGTTTGTATTTTGAGTTAATTTGATTATATTAAATATATTGAAAAATAAGTTTATTTTTAATGTTAACAATTTTATAAGTGTTTAAGTTATTTTAACAGAAAATGTATTTATCAATATTTTTTTATCAAATGTATTAATTACTCCTATTTAATTATGTTTTGAGAATTAGATATTTATTAGGAGTAAAAAAATGAAAGAAAAGAGAGGTGAGTAGGAGAGAGATGGTAAAAAGGTAAAGAAGTGGGCCCATTATTCAAGTGTCAACTAATTAATGGGGGTCACACAACTATTGTTGGTTGAGCCTCTACCATTGTAAAAAATTTTGAGTATATCTTTTTTGGATGTGAGGTGACACGCAATTAAAATTAAAGAGACAAGTATTGAAAACACTCCTAAATTTGGTGTAAATTATTAATTTGATTTCTAAATTATTGACCACCTTAAAAGTTAAATACATTCGGATCTTGCAATATAAGTGAAATGCAATCCTAAATTTCCATCAAATTAGAGGTGTTTTCAACACTTCTCTCAATTTTTTATTAAGAGTCTCATATTCGTACAAGAATTTGAGACCACATACCAAGCCATGGCATAGATTGAGCTATGTTTAGTTTGATTAGTCAAGCAATTGATTTTTTAGTACGGTCAATAATTTAAAGATAAAATTAATTATTTAGTCCAAGTGTAAAGATATGTTCAATACTTCTCTCCTGAGATAAAACTCAAGGACTCCATATAAACAATAATGTTCTCTGGGTTTTGAAAAAATTAAAGAAATAATTACACCTCAGAATTTAAGAATTAAACTAAAAAAACGTGTTAGGAGGATTTTAAGATTAACTATGTTATCAAAGTATGACTGACATCCAATTTCCCTTTTCTACGCAGATCTTACCTAAATAACTCATATTGTTTACTGCTTAAGCACTAGGACTAAAAGAAGGGTCAGTGTTACTTAATCAAACATAAACTAAATTCATTTTTACTTTATCTTTTCACCAAGATACTCATAAAGCTCAAGACTTAATTAAAACTTCTACCGCATAGTTATTGATTTTTGAAAAATATTCATAAATATAAATTATTTTTCTATTAAATAGAAAGGATAGAAAGGAGAGTTTTCAAATTTTCAACATGGCTTTTTTTTGCCATATTTAGAAAATCTTAAGGGCAATTTGGTCATTGCCCCTTACAATTAATGTTTAGGGTTTGGCCATAGATTTCCCAAATAATATTTGGGGGAAAAATTGGCAAAAAGTGTTTGTCCATATAATTTGCAATTATTTGGTAAATATTTTTGGCAATATCCCAAATTTTTAAATACTAGTTTTTTCTAGTATTTGGGCCAAATTTCATTATTTGGGATCTTTTGAAAATTAAAATTTTACCCCAAACTTTTTATCTTTTACAAAAACACCCTTTATAGTAATTGTTTGCATTGTATTACATAATTTTTTACGTGAACACCAAAGTAGTGATGGGATATTCAATGAATATTAAATAATGGCATGATTGTTGATGAAAATGATGAACAATTGGCTCAGGGTAACAAAGTCATGTGCTTTGTCTACTTCACGAAGTATGGAATGATGCTTGTTGCACTAACTCCAAACTCCCACATTGCTCTAGTGTCATGGGCACTATTTGTTATTGTTGCAACGAAGATCCAATTGACTTGTAATACAAACTTATGGTTAGTTTTGATAATTTTTAAAACTTATGGGTATAAATCATATTTTTCTAAAAAAGTGAAATATATTTCTCAAATACTATGGCCAAACACATGGTGAAATTTCACTCAAATTTTCACCTAAATAATATTTGCCAAGAATATTTAGAAATCTATGATCAAGCGCTAGCTTAAAGTTGCATAATATTCCTCCTGGTAGTCAGAAGCATATAGTATGTATATTTTTGGTTAATAACATTCTTATTGAGAAAATGATCAAATATCTCCAATCTATTATCGAATTTTTAACTACACACTCATACTTGATCCCCATAAACTGTTTTAAAATAGAATAAATAAACCCTTAATGCTGAGTTGGCTTAGAAAGAGAGTAAATAGGATTGTTTTATGTTTATTTCATATTTTTATTTTTCTTTCTCTCTCTTTCTAATTAAGTTAAAATAATCTCCCTCACCCACCCCCAATCCAACCCGCCACACTTCTTCTTCATCTTCACACCCACCCTACACTTCTTCTTCTTCACACTTTTGCTTTATTTTTATTTACATCACAAATCTCTACAAATTTCTTCAGGAATTCTACATATTAACCGTCTCTTACCATAACCAAAGAATTTTTAAATAAATTTAGTTATTACTCCCAAATCAAAGTAATAAAATAAATAATTTAAAAAATCAACTTTTTTTTTATCGAAAGTCATTTCAAACAAACACAAAATTTTCAATTTTCAACACCTTCACAAGCTCTTCTCTCAAACGTTTATTCTAATTTTACATTCTTGAATTTAACCACAAATTGGGGTATTTTCGAAATGGGGCATAAAAAATTCAACTGGGTCATAATTTCTTTCAGTTAGATTAGTTTCAATGTTTTAATTTGGTTTGCTACTTTCACCAACATTAAGAGAAGAAAGAAACTGAATTGAAAATTTATGGCATGCCCATATACTACTTTTGGTATATCCCTTCATAAGCCCCCAACATGAGTAAAATGTGTAGTAATGAACTTTGAAAAAAATTGTGGGGAATAGGATAGAGATATTGGTCATAGAAACTTTTACTCATCGGAAATTTTTTTACCATCTTTTCTCTTGCCGGAATGTCAATGGATGGGAAGTGGGTTTGATAATGGTGATGTTCTTAATGATAATGGAGGTTTCTAATGGGGCATATAATAATTTTAAAAAATAGGGAAAACAATTCATTTATTATATTTATTGGCAAAAGGCATAAATTGCCCCCTAAACGTATACCCAAAAGTCATTTACACACTTTAACTAATGGGGTGACCTATTACACACCTTAAGTACATAAACGTATATTTATTTCCCCCTTCCGTCACCCAACTCAGGGCGCGTTTCGCTCCACATAGTTGAGCGCGTCAACACGCTAATAAAGTCATTTTTATTTATTTTTTTAATTAAAAAAATCTAACCCAACGGTTATATTTCCATTCCCTTCACATAACCCACCCACCCGACCCTAATGAACAAAACCCCTAAATTTTCACCCAAAAATCTGAATCAAGAACCCTAAATTCAAACATAGTTCAAAATTCCTTCTTTTGAATCAAAGGTAACTCTTTTTCATTATTATTCATTCATCTCTTTTCCATTTTGATTCATTTCTCTCTTTTTCATTTTGATTTGTTTCTATCTATTTCGTATTTTGAATTTTTAGTTGTTTGATTCGCGGTAATTCTTATTAAGGTGCTACAATGGCTCGAATAAGCTTGACTAGGCTCTGTTTACAAGAGGAAGATCATGAATTGGAAGAGGTGCGATGCAAACACGGATTTGTTTTGCCTTTGCTGACCTCTTGGACCCCGAGAAATCCTAGTAGAAGATATTGGGGTTGTCCTTACTATGGGGTAAGTTAATCTTTTTTAAGAGTTGAATAATTCGTTTTGTTGTTTCAAGAGCCATAGAATGATTCGTTTTGTTTTTTAAGAATGCTAGATCATGCGATTTTTGGCTTTGGAAAGATGATTATATTGATCCAAGATCCAAATTTGTGATTCCCAAGTTGTTGGGAAGAATTGCGGAGCTTGAACATAGTGTTGAATCTTCTCGAAAAGTTGAAACTTCGGATAAGGAAATCAACAAGCCTACTAAGTCGACCAAATCCATGGAAAGCAAAATAGATATGAACAAGAAGGAGTCAAAAATGGACAATTTTGATGATGATTTGAAGAAGATGAAAGCAGTTGAAAAGAAATGGAAAAAAAAATTGGCCAAGTCCAAGAAAAGGGAGAAACAACTTTGGATTGCTCTGTTGTGTGTTTGTATTTTAGGTGTAAGTTTAGTATTTCAAAGAGTATTGTTTCTGAAAGGAGAAGGACATTCAAGGAAATTGTCATGATCTCTTATTGTACCAAAAATTTGCAATATTGTGTTGAACTTGTAAGGCTTTTGTGTAATGAAAAGAATTTACAAAGCTTCCCTTAGCTTAATTTGTCTCATTTATTGTTGCAAGTATTTGATTTTGTATTTGGTCATAAACTATATATTTAGTGTGTACAACTATCTGCTCAACTGTCTAAACTATACGTTTGTGTAGCCACTGCTTAAGTAGTCACTTATTGCCCTCCATAAACACAAAAACCATCACTAAAAGAGAAGCAATATTGTTACATAAACAGACATTCATAACTGCATAATCATTAATCAAAATAGAAGTTAATATATGTCAAAGCAGTTACATAATCAAACACCACAAATCAAAATGCAGTCACAACTGCAATTCATTGGTGCAGCAGGGCCAGAAGGAGGTCTTGAACTTGGTGCAGCAGGGCCAGAAGGAGGTCTTGAACTTGGTGCAGCAGGGCCAGAAGGAGGTCTTGAACTTGGTGCAGCAGGGCCAGAAGGAGGTCTTGAACTTGGTGCAGCAGGGCCAGAAGGAGGTCTTGAACTTGGTGCAGCAGGGCCAGAAGGAGGTCTTGAACTTGGTGCAGCAGGGCCAGAAGGAGGTCTTGAACTTGGTGCAGCAGGGCCAGAAGGAGGTCTTGAACTTGGTGCAGCAGGGCCAGAAGGAGGTCTTGAACTTGGTGCAGCAGGGCCAGAAGGAGGTCTTGAACTTGGTGCAGCAGGGCCAGAAGGAGGTCTTGAACTTGGTGCAGCAGGGCCAGAAGGAGGTCTTGAACTTGGTGCAGCAGGGCCAGAAGGAGGTCTTGAACTTGGTGCAGCAGGGCCAGAAGGAGGTCTTGAACTTGGTGCAGCAGGGCCAGAAGGAGGTCTTGAACTTGGTGCAGCAGGGCCAGAAGGAGGTCTTGAACTTGGTGCAGCAGGGCCAGAAGGAGGTCTTGAACTTGGTGCAGCAGGGCCAGAAGGAGGTCTTGAACTTGGTGCAGCAGGGCCAGAAGGAGGTCTTGAACTTGGTGCAGCAGGGCCAGAAGGAGGTCTTGAACTTGGTGCAGCAGGGCCAGAATGAGGTCTTGAACTTGGTGCAGCAGGGCCAGAAGGAAGTCTTGAACTTGGTCCAGCAGTAGGTCTTGAACTTGGTCCAGCAGTAAAGCTTGTGCCAGAAGCAGGTGCACCAAGAGAACACTTTCTTTTATTGTGACCCTTGTTATGACAAGTGTTGCATGACATCTCAATCCCTCTTTTGGATAATTTTCCAGTTTTACTGGTTTCACCTTGCTCTTTCTTCCTTTTCTTGAGGTCCAATTTCCTATGGTGAATAGCAGCTATTGCATGAGGACATGGTATGCCTTTCAACATCCATGCTCTATAGCTACATATTTGCCTTTGAATATCAACTACATGTTTGTATGGTCCATGAAGTACCTCATACCCTGTATCTGAATTCCATTCAATGCTGCATTTCATAGACTTAGCTGTGTTATCTTGTAGAACCTTCATTGCCATTGGAGAAATGTCACATATCCAAGTATTGCAAAACTCTCTCATCTGCCCTATTCTTTTCATCATTTTCACCCTAATTTCTTCAAGCATTGTAATTATAGTCTTATGCCTTGCTGCTAATATCCATGAATTGAAACATTCAGCCATGTTATTGTCTACAACATCACATTTTGAGGTAAAATTGAAGTAAAACTTGCTCCATCTTTCAGGATTATAATACAACAAATGATCAACTATATTATTACCCAACCTTTTCATATAACTAATGTTATCTTTTAACTCAGCCTCAAAAGTAGACCTTGCACACCTCCAGAAACATTTCTTTCTCTCAAGACCTCTCCATCTCTTTGACCAGTTAGCAAGGATGTGTCTAGCACACATTCTATGCTCAACATTTGGCAAATGATCAGTTATGGCAATTTCAAGACCCTATAAGAAAATTCAAGACATAAAACTAAGAAACTAAGACATTTATAAATAAATGGCATTCAAGACATGAAATAAATCAAAAAAATCAATAAATATTCTAACCTTTTGCATATCTGATATGATTGTGAGGTCTGTACCATCTCCCAACTGAAGATCTTCCTTTAGAAGTTTGACAAACCAAGCCCAAGTAAACTTATTTTCAACTTCAACTACTGCCCAAGCCAGTGGTAGCATTTGATTGTTCCCATCTTTACAAACAGCAACCAATAATTGACCTTTAGATACTCCCTTTAGAAAACAACCATCCAAACCAATGAACCTCCTACAACCAGCCAAGAAAGACTTCTTCATTGCATTAAAACATATGTAGAAGCCTTGAAACATTTTACCTTTTTCAAATGTTTCTTCATGAAGCTTGACTACACATGTACTACCTGGATAGTTCTTAGCAACTCATCTTTGTAGTCCCAAATTCCTCCCAAACTCAAGAACATAGTCACCCATTAACTCCTATAATACTTTGTTTCTTGCTCTCCTACACACTATTCTTCCAACATATAAATCCAATTCTTTTTTAATAAGCCCTTGAAACTCAAATATTCTAATGTCAAGTTGTTCCTTTATCCTTTCACTGTAGTGACTAGATAAGAACTTGCTATTACAAAGCTTGTTCCTATTAGTAGGATCACATTTGTGAACTGGATTGTATGTCTTTACAACAAAATTATCTGTCCTAGAATCAAAGCTAGCAAATAAAACCCAAGGACAACCAACTGTACACCTAACCCTTACCCTTGTTGGTTCATTAATATACATTTCAATTGCAACATGTTTAGCAACAACATATTTGGTAACAGCAGATCTAAACTCATTAACACTTTCAAATACAAGTCCCCAATTCCCACACTACTTTCTGAGAAGATGCATCAAATACAACTCTATTCACCTTCTTTCTCCTTCTTGGCTTAACTCTCTCTCTTTGTTGAACCTCTTCTCATCATCACTGAAAGCATCTGGATCTGTTTCAAAACTGGCAGCTTCATCTGAGGGATAATAAGGCTCATCACCAGCTAACTTGCCTTCTAAGTTATTTCTATTACCACCTGTAGATTCATCATACCCAGCATCTGCCTTTTTTTTTTCTGTTCCTAACTTGACATGATCAGGCAATGGAGCTCTTTCTCCCCTTTTCCTTCTCTTTCTTTCTCCTTTCCTCCCTAAAACTTCTTCGTTCATCATCTACATCACTCCCATTAAATCCCCTCCCATTCAATGATTCTCTATCTGAATCTTGTTCATTAGAAGGATGGACAGGGTCAGAAATTGGATCAGAGGAAGGATGAACATGGTCAAGAGTTGGATCAGTAGAAAGATGGATAGGGGTAGGGGCATAAGCAGGGGCAGGGTTTGAGGCAAGGTTTGAGGCATTTTCTTGGGCCTCATGTGTGGCATTTTCTTGGGCCTCATATGTTGGTTCTAATTCAGCATTAAAAGATGCATTAGGCCCACTGTTTTGAGATGCTCCCTCACCTACTCCACTTTCCCCATATTCCAATAAAGGTGGGACCAAAACAGGATCAGCAACAAAGTGACACACAAAACAGTCCAAAATATCTCCATGACTCAAACACTCAGCAATTAAAGTAGTATCATAGTCAGATTTGATTTCTAACATAGCAGTACTTCTAGGAAGTTTTACATACAACACACATTGTCCAGGTTCATACCCCAACTCTTTCAGACAATCCCTCAATTCAAAATAAGATAACCTATCTATATCAACATCTAAAAACTCATAAACTCCTCCACCATGATATGGTTTCCCCTTGTATTCCTTTTTTCCAATCTTAATAACACCACCGTGGTAAAATCTCAAAGCTCTGTTTTGAACCGGATTTAGAGACGAAACCCCTGTAGAATAATTCTGAATACCTGGAGATAAAAACCCACCAATATTAGCAGGCTGTGACCGGAATTGCTGGTGAACAGGTAGAGCGTGGCGCGTGTTCATCATCGTAGAGACATTTGAATTCGAAGAAAATTCAGATGAAATTGAAGAAGCAGCAGCAGCGGCAACAGAAAAATCTACAGGGGAAAGAGGAGACATTGGAGAAGACTGCTGATAACTTCTGGGTGAAATAAATGGACTAGGGTAAAATAAAATGGATTTGGGTGAAAAGAATCGGGTTTGGGTGAAAAGAAACGGGTTTGGATCAAAAGAAACGGGTTTTGGTCAAATGAATCAGATTGGGGTCTTTTATTACGTGGCTTAACTAGGAGGCGAGTGACTTTCACTCTAGGCATAATGTCCTGGGTTGGGTGACGGAAGGGGGAAATAAATATACTTTTATGTACTTAAGGTGTGTAATAGGTCACCCCATTAGTTAAAGTGTGTAAATGACTTTTGGGTATACGTTTAGGGGGCAATTGATAATGGTGATGTTCTTAATGATAATGGAGGTTTCTAATGGGGCATATAATAATTTTAAAAAATAGGGAAAACAATTCATTTATTATATTTATTAGGTGGCATTGACATGACACTGACATGGCATGTGTGTGTGTTACACCACAATATACATGAGTGACTATGTCATTTTAGGGTGAAATTTATTTTCTTCTAAAATAGTTCAGGAGGGTAATAGGACCCTCGTGAAGTATGAGTGTATAGTTGGAAATCCGACCATATATTGGGGAGACTTTCGACCATTTTATCTTCTATATTTTAATATTAATAGTTGAAGATTCATTTTTATCAATTGAGTTATTATTGAGTATTCCTCCATTCATTTTTATTTGTCATGTTTTATTTTTTAAAGTTAAAATGTAAAATTTTTAATTAATATTTGTTTATTATATTAAATTAATATGAGAATAGTTGTAACTTATAGTATCTTTCATACAATTTTAGAATATATAAAATTTAAATTTAAACTATTGATAATCAAATTCAGTATAGCTCTAGAGATTAGTTAATAAATCGACTCTCATAAAATAAAACATGACAAGTAAAATTGGGCATACAAAATAATATGTTCTTTGTAATTTTTGGTGAGTACTTTTTCAATGAGATTGTTTTAGAAGCAACAAAATAATAGGACTGATTTTGATT